CCCCAAAACCCCAAAACCCCAAAACCCCTAAAACACTATAAATTATTGAAAATGGAAACTCAGGTAGAAATCAGCCATAAGAAGCCAGAAAAGCCCCGCACAGGAATTCTTGGTAAGAACCTTTTGTTTCTTATTGAGCTCCTTCAATATATCTTTAACAGTGTGGTTATTATAAAACTTTCTCGATCAAATTTTCAAAAAAATACTTTTAAAACTTGACATTTTTACCCTTACTTGCTGTTAAGCCCTGTTCAGAGCTTTGTGCTTAATGTTGACATTTAAAATACAGCAACTACCGTACAAGGCTTTAAAGACGAATTAGAAAATACGTACAAAATAGATATTTCTAAGGTCTCTCAAGCATGTGAGATATTGCCACAGAACTATAACTTTGAAATCTGGAAGACCCTGTACAGGATCTGACTTTCGAAGAGTAAATATGAAGGAGAGAAGAAGTATAAAGTCGCACTCCAGTTCCCAGAAGGGTTGCTACTATACTCTACATTGATAGCAGATCTTATTACAAAGTACTGTGCTAGTGAAGAAGACGATATAGAGGTACTGATCATGGGAGATGTCACCTATGGAGCATGCTGTATTGATGACCTCGGCGCAAGGGCTCTTGGGGCTGATTTTATGGTCCATTATGCTCATAGTTGTCTCGTACCTATCAATGAAATGGCTATTAAAGATATACTCTACGTCTTTGTCACTATTGGGATAAATCTAGAGCATTTTGTAAATACAATTGTGCATAATTTATCTGACCATAAAAGTAGTGATATTTATTTGTTAGGAACAATACAATTTACAAACTCTCTTTTCATGTGTAAGAAGAAGCTACTTGAAGAAGGATTTGAAAGCATAATAATCCCGCAGACAAAGCCGAGGTCCTCTGGAGAGGTACTTGGTTGCACTGCTCCAATCATCCCAGAATCTGAGAGCAAAGAAATGATTGCAATCTTTTTGGCTGACGGTAGATTCCACATAGAATCAACTATGATCCAGAATGATCATATCGATCATTTTTATCAATACGATCCTTATAGTAGAAATTTTACTGTCGAAAAGTACGATACTGAGAAGATGCACAAGATAAGGTACGAAGAGATCGAGAGAGCCAAGAGCGCTAAAACTCTCGGTATCATCCTTGGCACTCTTGGGAGGCAAGGCAACACAGGGCTCTTAGAAAACTTTAGGAGCATCTGCAAAGAGCAAGGAATAAAATCATTCATACTCCTTCTTAGTGAGATAACTCCTCAGAAGTTGGCGAAGTTTAAATCAGTTGATGCTTGGGTGCAGATTTCATGCCCTAGACTCTCTGTGGACTGGGGCCTACAGTATGACAAGCCTTTACTGAATACCTACGAAGGATATGTGCTTTTGGACCAGATCAAATGGCAATCCACTTATCCAATGGACTTCTATAGCGACAGAGCCGGCGAATGGGGAGTTTATTACAAGATTAACAAAATGAGAGAGGAGAAGAAAGCTATGAGGAAGAAGAAAAAGGTCAAAATCGGCTATGAAAATTAATTTTGGTAAATATCTTGTTTCTCTGGCAAACACACTTTTGTAGAATTTATTAGATTGGCTGTATTTCATCTACTGTTTTATATTTTGTCATACATGCTTGGGTTATTTTATGGGGGGTCACCATGCATCTACAGAGGCTAATTCAATCCTTAAGTTTGATAAAATATTAATGCTTTCAATAAAAGATAGCAAGGATGGGGTTTTGGGGTTTTGGGGTTTTGGGGTTTTGGGG